CAGATTTTTTAAAATATTTATCTAATTTTATTTTTATTTATCATAATTATTTATAAATTAAATATTGATATTTTAAAATAAATCATCAATAAATAAAAATAAAAAAAATTTAAAGTATATTTTATATGTTTAAAAATATTTATATTTATTTATACAAATTGTGAATATAATTTGTATATTTAAAGCATTTGCTTATATATGTAATTTATTCTAATTTAGTTATATAAAAAGAATTTAGTTTGTGCTTTGGCTAAAATGCTAGTTTATAATATATACTTTTAAAATTGTAAATTATGTTATTAAATTTTGTGATTAGTAAATATTTTAAATGTATATATATATATATATATATATATAATATTTTTTTATACTAATAAAAGAATATTATTTTTTATTAGCTTAATTGTGATTTGGGGACTTTTTTTTTTAATATACCAAATTTATTTTTTAATTATTTAAATAACCTGAATGCATTTATATTTACCTAAATAACCCATTTGAAAATTTAGGTGAGAAATCGGTTTTCTCAAAGGGATTTTTGAAAAATTTTGAAAAATCCCTTTGAGAAATCGGTTACCCAGTAACCGATTTCTCACTTGGGTTTTTTTTTTTTCATTTTTTTGTTTTCAGATTTTGTAAAAAAAAAATTATTCACTTTTTGATTTTCAGATTTTTTTAAAAAGTATAATTAATTTTAATAAAATATATTTAATATTTAAATTAAATAATTTATAAAAGATAATAATTAATAATAAAATTAATATTATATTTATTTATAAATTATAATATTTCTGATTTTAAATTTTTTAAAAATAAATATAGTTAATTATAATTTTAAGAATTATATATAAAATTATAAACATTTGTATAATATTTTAAAATTATGTTAAAAATAAATAAAATGTTAAAACTTGTTTATTATACTAAATTTTAGAATTATAAAATGAATTTTATTATTTAAATTAAATTTATTAAATATAAAAAATTGGAAACTATAATATAATAATAAATATATATTAAGTACACTAATTTTAACAGTTACATCATTAAAATGAAAATAACTTAAAAAAAAGACACAATTTAAACAAACTTCAAACATAATAGATAAATAACATAAAACCTAAATCATATAACATTAGTTGTCTAATTTCATTGCTTGGTCAATGTATTTTTCAATCGCTTCCATCCCATGCAATAATTCAATATACGTCGTGGTAGCATACAATTCAAGACTTGTTAAGTCGTGCAGTTCTGTGAATAATGAAAACATACACTCCACATCTTCATCATCCCTGAGAAGACACACTGTATATTTATATACACCACCGATACATGAATTTGGGTATCGGTAGTGAATATCTATGACAACTTTGTAATGAGGAAGATTAAGGTTATTATTAATAATCTGCTTAAGTTGCTTATAAGTCATCATGTTGCTTACTAGTACGGTTTTAACAAGTGGCTGGAACAGTTAACGACTCCATTGATTGGATGTTTCAATCTGTTGCATTTTTTTAGCATGTGTTTAGGGTTTATATAGAACTAAAGCAACCTAATGTGGACAAACGTAAAGTCATTGGATTCCTTACGCTCTGCACAAAACATTGATTTTTCTGATGTTCTAGGACCAAGGCAATGACACTCTGCACAAAACATTAATTTTTCTAAGGCTCTGGGACAAAGTAATTGATGACATTGCACAAAGTCATTGGATTCCTGACGTTCTGGAACAAAGTAATTGATGACACTTTGCACAAAGTCATTAATTTTTCTGACGCTCTAGGACCAAGGCAATGACACTCTGCCCAAAGTCATTAATTTTTCTGACAAAATCTATTTTAAATTAATTTTATTCTTTAAAATTTATTTTAAATACATTTTTATAATCTAAAATACAAACAAAAACTAAATAATTTTTTAAAAAATTCATTATAATTTTTTTCAAAAATTCATTAAAAAAATTCTAAATATTATAAATTGAAAAACAAAAAAAAATAGAAATCTGAAAAAAAATATATAAAAAAAAACGAAAAAAAAAGCCCAAGTTCTCACCTAAATTTTTAAATGGGTTATTTAGGTAAATATAAATGCATTCAGGTTATTTAAATAATTAAAAAAAATTGGTATATTAAAAAAAAAAGTCTGATTTGGGTCTTTTAAATATTGTAATTGTGTGGTTTTAGTTTTCAAAATTTTAATTGAACAATTTTAGTTTCTCAAATATTGCAATTAGTATAAGTGAATCTCTCTTTATATGTGTGTGTATTTGTTTAGTTTATTTAAGCTTTAGTGTTTCATAAATAAATAAAAAATTCTTTTTGATCTTTAAGTTCCTTATATAATAATCCGAATAAAGATAACTATTGTAAAACTTTAAGGTTTTCTCATAAGTTATTTCATCTGTCTTTGTTACGAGTCTCTTGAGATGAGAAGTTTTTGTTGCAGCATTAAATGCTTGCATTAATTATATTTCACCAAATTGTCACTTCTTATCTAATTTTATTAGCTTTAGGATATTGAATGGACTTTTTGTGACGTGTGTGAGTGAAGAGTATATTCTACATCAATTTTTATTGACTTTTTTTTTCATGATTTCAATTATCTGTTTGTCCTTGTTTCGTATGCACAGATTGATTTCATTCCCTTTAAAAAGAGCTGTCAAAGTGGGTTCCAGCCCGTGGATTAACCCGGCCCACCTTAAAAACGGGTCGGGCCAGGCCACAAAAATGAAAAAAATTATGATTAGTCTAAAAATGTGACCCGGCCCACATGCACTTTTTCCTTCTTCTAAAATATAGTCCTTATTTCAAGGGAGCCAAATCCAACATATTTTTATTGAATAAAATTTTGTTTATATATATATATATATTAAAAGATTAAAAGATAAAAAAATTAAATCAAATTTAAGAGTTAAAAAAATTAAAATGAATATTTTAAAGATAAAAGATAAGGAAGAATAATTTGTTTATATATATATATATATATGAATAATGACATAAAATAGTAATATGATGTGATTGACTAAAATGATATAAAAAAAATATATACATCATAAAATTTCATGGATTGAAAATGAATGTTTAGTTATAACTAGAAACTAAATTACTAAAATATAAAAAAATGAAATACCTAATGTTACTTCTTTTAGTTTAAGAACTTAAAAATTACTAAAAGAAAAACGTATAGATCAAATGATCCATTAAAACTTAATAATTTTATAGTATAATATAAATTATTTGTTACAAAATTGAAATATATTTTACACGTAAAAAAAATATTTATTATGAATTTTACTTATAATATAATAAATTAATATTTAAAAGTATTTATTATAAATTTTAGTGATGTAATTACTAATTAAAATACCAGTATTTTATATTTTTGAAAAATCTTTAGTTTAAGAATTTTTTTCAAGACTTATATTAAACATGAAATTTATCCCGATAACATTTTTTCTGTTTTAGAAGAACAAGAACCCTAGGGACAACTTAAAAACCCCGGAATGAATCCCGATAACAATTTGTGATACCATAAGATAAATACAATATAAGGTTTCATTTTGATTCGTAGTAATATAAAAGCATTTTCATTTGATAACGCGTGTTCATGATCAAAGAGTTATGGAAGTATTCATTGATGAATAGAATGGTGATCGTTTATTTTTCATCCAGATTTATTAACAAATATAAATTATTAATATATGAAGCTTCACCCACTGACTGCTGCTGAATGGGTCACTTGCAAAAGTAGATCAGATGGATTCGTCAACCTTTCTATCAATGATACATTTGAATTGATCAAATTGAACGTCGAAGACCAAGTACACTTTTCATTGAAAAGATAATTTAATGATAAAAAATTATTGACCATAAAAATATTAAAATAAAAGGTATAGGCATTTCAATTTTTTATTCTAGAATATTTAAAATTAATTCAATTAATATAACTTTTTTAAAAGTAACTTGTATATATCTTATTATATTTAATGTTATTTAAAGAAAATCAAATAATAATAATGAAATTAAGAAAAATAAAAAAAATTAATTGAATATTCAATTAAAAAAGAAAGTAAAAAATTAGTTTGACTCGAAATTCAAAAGGTTGTGATACAAAACAAGAAAGACAATGAAAAGTATATTGAAAAAGTTATCGTATCTATAAGAAAGACGACTTAAATTTAAATGTATTATATATAATTATACAAGTGTGGTATTTTTTTTTCAAAAAAATTTTACGAGTGTGATTATAATTTATATTTTTATTTAAAACATATCATTATAAATTATTATTTATTAATCATTTGAAAGTTATTGTTCTGTAGCCGAAAGCAACAAATTGTTAAGGTATTTTTTGCATTTTAAGTAATTATAAGTCAAAATCTTTTATTAAAAAAAGATATATTTGTTATATTTTAATATAAATTGTATTTATTAGTACTAAAAATATTTTTAAATTTAATACATAATAAATATTTAATCTATACATTTCAAATGTTAAAATACTCTTTAATTCGTATGTAAGGTTCACTTAAAATTTGAGTCCAACTTTATATTTTTAATCCCTTAAGTTATAAATAATATATTTTTACTCCCTTAAATTTAAAATTATTGTTTTTAGTCTTTGTAATTTTTATTAATCTCATCTTAGTCCCTTAGATTACCAATCATATATTTGAAAGTGACACATTGAGATAATTATGTATCATCATTTAAGTTCAACATGGTATTTTCACATACACGGACACCGTGGATAGATTATATATGATAGTATTTGATTGATTTCTTAACAAAGTTTAAGTATAAAGACAAAAACAATATTTTTTAAAATTAGAGAACTAAAAAAATTAATTTTAAATTTAAAGGATTAAAAATAAATTTATTTTAAATTTAAGAGACTAAAAACATATTTAAACTTAATATTAATATATATTTTATTTTTTTATTAATTTATATTTAAAATAAAATAGAAAGAT